TAGGAGTCAATGGTGCCCATGTCCAGCAATCACTGTGCGAGAGGTGGGAGACACCCTGGACAAGTCTCAGGGACACAGAGACAAATGACAATAACTTGTGATAAACTGTCAGTGCTCATGCAGCAAGAATGAGGACTTTAGTCTTTAAAAAGACACGTTGCTCCTAATTTCACTGTCACGATGACAAAGCTAGAGGAACTGTCTGAGGACAGCAACAGGGCTATAAGTAGCAAACACAGAGAAGGCCATCCCAGAGGATCCCTGTTTCAACAGTGAGCAACATTATCAAGTTTTCCAAGCATGGAGCTGTGAAGAACCTTCCTGCATGTGGAAGAAAGAGGAAAACTGATGTGAGAAATCACTGAAGGTTGTTGCGTACGGTGGAATAAGTGTCACATCTAATGCCAAAATACCTTATGTCACATTTGATGCTTTAATGTTGAACCCAGCTGCAGGCCGACCACGAAGTCTCAGCAAAACTTACATGCATGGATGACACGCGGGAACAACGCGGACCAGGAGCGCGACAGGTCAATGCCCAGACAATGAGAAACACCAAGACGCAGACTTGAATATACAACAACCACGAGACAAAGTGCAAGCACCTGCGACACACAACAGGTGTCTAGAGGAGACAGGGACTGATTACAAGGAGGAGCAGGACAAAGGACACACCACAAGGAGGCACAATCCTCACACCTTATGCAAACCTGTAGCAATCTGGGGTCCTGGTTTCTACAAGTTCCACATGTTGAAGTTAAACCAAGTTTAAGCTTTGGCCAAGGAGGAAACCAGTGTTGAACAAAAGGCGTAAAATGGAACTTTGCCAAAGAGTATTTGGACAAACCAGAGTCCTTCTGGGAAAATGTTCTTTGGATGGAAGAAGTAAAACTTGAGCTTTTCGGTAATCTTCATTAACTGTTTGTTCACAGATGATGCAACGAAGTTCACAAGGAAAAGAACGTCCTACTCACAGCTGAGCATGGTGGGGGCGCCATAATGCTTTGGGGATGCTTTGCTGCGTCTGGCATGGGAGGTCTTGACTGCATCAGAGGAATCGTGGAATTGGAAAATTACCAAGGGATATCAGAGTGAAATGTTCCACCCAAGGTGAACACTCACCTTGAGGTGAAGGTCATGGACAAAGACCTGAGTCACACATCCGAAAGCCTGCAGGAGTGATTAAAAGGAAGAAATTGGGCGTCTGCTACTGGGACCACACCCCTACAAACATTCTAGAGCCTCAACGAATACCAAGTAAGAAGTGCAAGAAGACAAATACAGAATAAGAAATGTCTGGAGGCTGTCATCGCTGTTAGTGGGGGTGAAAAGGACGGGTGTCAACATTAGTGCCCATGCTGTTTTTCAGTTTCATCCATCCATCCATCCATCCATCCATCCATCCTCCCATCCACTAAATAATCCATCCATCCATCCACTACATAATCCAGCCATCCACTAAATAATCAATCAATCAATCAATCAATCAATCCTTCCATCCATCCATGAGGTTATCACAGCATAAACATCCATCTATCCATCCATCCATCCATCCATCCATCCATCCATCCATCCATCCATCCATCCATCCATCCATCCATCCATCCATCCATCCAGCCATCCA